TCCTGCTGACTGCCTGCCGCTGACAGTGTAACCCACGCCCCAGCAGAGCCTCACCTGCGCGAGTCCCTCCTCCTCTCCCCCTCCTCCAAATTAACGCTGAGGAGAAGCTCGGCCTGCTTCCCGAGATACCGAGTCAAGCATGCGGCCTGGGAGAGCGCCGTTTCCTTAAGACATAGGAATCCCCAGCAGAGCCTCACCTGCGCGAGTCCCTCCTCCTCTCCCCCTCCTCCAAATTAACGCTGAGGAGAAGCTCGGCCTGCTTCCCGAGATACCGAGTCAAGCATGCGGCCTGGGAGAGCGCCGTTTCCTTAAGACATAGGAACAGATTTCAGTGCGCTTGTCCTCAGCCTTTCACCCTTGTGTTGGGGCCATGTGCATCAAATCTCTCCAAAGGAGTTTGTTTCTTCTGGGATTTCTCTGAATTTCAGGGAGAGAGTGATGGATTTGTATTTTTTTTTTTTTTGAACAGCAGTTCATCTGCAGTAGACTGAGTTGGCAGCTGCCTTCCAGCCCGCAAGATGCTGTGTATATAACCTGCAGTACATATTAAAGCTTCTCTGTGGAGATGGTTTTACATTTTATGGTTTTATGCATAAATTTTGCTTCATCAGTGTGGAAACTCTAAATATATATGATGCACCTGTGAATCGTTCAGTACACTTTATGCTTACTGAAATCTTAAATGTTTTTATTACATTGAAAATATTTTCCTGGTGCTCCAGGCATTCTTATGAGCAAAATATCTCATATTCAGGACTTCTTTCATCTTAAAGCACTGAGCGAACAATGTCTAATGAACATATGGTAGTCAGTCTTATTAACTTAGAAAATGAATTTGAAAACAAGAGGAAATAATGCAAAGGAATTACTGGACAACTGGCAAACTATCCACAAGCTACAATATTAAATGGGCCTGGTGGAAATGCTTGATACTGGGCAAGCTGAACGCTCTTAAAAAAAAATGAAGTACTATTGAGAAAATAGTATAAGTATTATTTCCACAGAATGTGTCTTGACTTTTCTCACGTATTGTTACGAATAGCCTTCCAGTCTTCCAGTGCGTTATACAAAATCATTTTCATGTTGCGTTTACCACAATGTGATTTAAATTTTTTAACCTAATGAGTTTTGACGTTTTCAACAAAGTTTGCTTTGCAAAAGTTGCCTCTGGAGATGGGGACGGTGCTGGTGACATGCATTCGTCTTCCTAATGCATGTTTTGCTATCGCTGGTAGGATTTTTTTTTAATTTATGTGAAATAGTTGCTTTGTGTGTATCAGTAGGTTTTCAATAAAATATCAGGTGTGCCAGCATTCAGGAATGCATTTTCAATACACCTGGGCCAGGATGTGAACACTAGCTCAGTAATGAGGAAGTCGCAATTCAAAATGGAATCTGCAAATTTGAAATCATAATTAAATTTACCCTCGACTTGGGGAAACGCAGCTGTAATAAGGACCGTTTAAAAGATACTGGAGCTTTTTTTCCTATTTCTTCCTTCTTTTTTTTAGCTTTATATCTTTTTTTTTAAACCCCTGAAGAGAGTAAAAAAACTAAAGGTACAGGCACTCACAATAAAAGAAATCAATTTTGCAGTTTTTCTCCTCAGAGTGCTAATAATGTTATCAAAGTATAATATAACAGATACTTTAGACAATAGACTACCACACCTGAAATGTATTTTCTATTTCCTTATCATGCAGGATTGACGTAAGAATATGAATGACTGTGACAGTTTGACAAAATGAATGAAAAATTTGTTCAAACTCCCTTTTCAGATAGTTGTTTCCTTGTCAAGCACATGATATAGAAGCAGTTTATCTGTAAGATTTCTCTTTGCCTGAGTTAAGCGATGCATCTTTGAGATCTGTGAATTCCACAAACTGTATCAGTAGTTGAAATTCAAATTAGTGCTTTTTAATTTGTGAAATTAACGGCTTTTTAGTCTCAGCTTTAAATGATAGTGTGAAATATTAAATGAGAGGCTTCATAAAGAATAACTACATGCCTGTAGTAGTAGAACTCAGGTTTTTGAAAACCATGCTTCCATTTATGCGCATATTGTATGTGTAGGGGCGTGTACACACACACACACACACACACACACACACACACACACACATCTGTGTGTACACACTCACATAGCTTATTTTCTTATTTGTCAGGTAATCAAGTAATATTGTACTCATAAGGTCATATCAGAAGGTTATATCAGAAATTTATTTAACAATGAGGAAAAAATAATTTTTGTGCCTGATGGAAGTTGCTGGCATCTTTTCAAACAGATTCTCTAATGATCTTGCTTCACCATGGCAACCAATATGGAGGTGCTGGCTCAGCAGGTAGTGGAGACGCAGCAGGTGGCTGAGGTGAGTGACAGATGATATCCCAATGCTTGGCATACGAGCTCTTGAAAGCAAAAATATACTGTTACATTCTTTTTTACAATTGATCATAAATGGAGTAGAAAATCTTTATAGAACAGCAATTCTTTTACACTCGGGAAAATAAGAAACCAATGCAACCAATATAAAGTTTGTTCACCATACTTCATTCTGCTGGCCTCCATATTAGGGATGTAAATAGAAAACTTACCCGTGAACTACAAGGACGCTTGTGTCTATTATGGATTGTTATAACATAAAAAAGTAATATAACAAAATTTCTGATCATTTGATCACTCATTTGATTATTTGGGTTATCAAAGGTTTCTGCTCTTTTCTCAAGTTGTCATGTAAATCCAGAACAATGTTTGAAGCTACCTGTGTTACTTATCAAATATAGGAAATTTACAATAGGGTAATTAATTTAAATCAAATTTATTATTTCCTGCCTATGCTTACGAGATAAAGGGCACAAAACATACTTAAAGTGATATTAAATGATGTCTTGATATATATTCACCGAAGCTTGGATGCTCAAAGGCTAAAATGTCTAAATCGGTTCATCAGCACTGAGATTGCAAATGATTGTGGCCGTAGAAGATAACCCCTTTATCTCTTTCAGTTTGAAAGCTTTAGTCAAAAGTTAGGATTTTTGTTTGTTGTTTTAAATTTTTATTTGACGTAATATTCTTCAAAGTTGCTATGATTTACCATATGGATACATAATTAAAGGGTTTTGTAAATGAAGGCCAAGTGAGCTATGAGATCTCTGAAGACAGTGCCAGTTTTCAGACATCAGTTCATGTAATGTTTTGACCTATTGAACTCAGATTACACGTTGTTATCAAAAAATTTGTTGGGCTCATGAAAGAGCTGAATGAGTGAAGTAAGTCTTTGTGTCGTTATATTTTCAGAAGTGGATTACAAATTCTTTATTTACAGCAATTTATTAATAAAAATGCTAGTTGTTTTAAAATCTATAATGGCAATGATTGAACCACAGACTGGACAAACGGGCTACCAGGTATACTGGAAATAATATCTAAGGAGTAGTTTCAAAAAAACTCAACAAAAATTTCACACTGAAAACTGACAAGCAGATTTTCACTCTAATTTGCTAGTTGAGGTATCAATATGGCAAGCTGCTCTCTTTCCAGAAGAGCTTGGAAATAAATAACTGTAACGGAAGTAGTGGCAGACCTTATATTATTTTGATAGAACTTGAGTGCTGTAATCACATCTAAGGCACATAAAATATGTGACATTTGTAATTCCTCGTGCAGGAAATGCACCGTGGTAACATAGTGTGATGGTTGTATCTTGCCACTGGAGAGATCGCTCCATCCCAAGAGTGTATGAAGCTCTGTGATTTCTTCCTGGCCGGTGGGTAAATAGAGGGCTTCATCTCTTTATAGTATTCAACTCCTCCTTAAATTATATGCCTATCTGCTGCATAACACCATGAGAACTTTGTTCATGGAAAAACAGTTATAAGCAGCATTGTCTCATTAAGAATTAATTGATGTTGTGATAATGTTACCTTTAAACTTTGAACTCTCTTTATGAATGGCTGGATGCCTACTGTTTGTGTCTTCAATCAGATACAGTTTTTAATACAGTTAAATACATTACTAATTTTCTTGACGTATACTACAATTCTTTATTTGTACTCACTGTTTCTTGGAGAAAATGTAGCATAAAAACTTGTCATTGCCCTTAAAAATGAGATAATTTTTCAAAATATTTTTCATCAAGGGAAACTAAATGGAAGGAGAGAACGAGTCATTAATCATCCTGAATTTTAAGTTAAGAATGTTGAGAGATCAGTTGCAAACAGGATAATTTAATGTAAATATTGGCATATTTAGCTATATCTGCATCAGTTTTTCAACATAATTGCCATGTATGTTGTGCATGAATTTATTGAGAACCGCAATGCCAAGCACCAACTCAGACTGTCATGCAAGTAGGCCATATATTGTTTTTCTTTCATAAGCAATAGCTTGTCAGGTTTGTTTTCCATGAACATATCACGAGTGTTACTGAGCACTGTCCAGTATTACCTATATTTTTGTGCTTATCCTTTTTTTAAAGACTTACTGAAATTTTCCCTGTAATGGTTTCAAATGGTTTCACTGCTTTTGCTTTTCAGCCAATTTTTGTCTCGTTTCTCCAACTGTATCTTTCTGAGCAGACTGGGTGAGGGAGTTCCATTCTTAGTGTCTGCAGCTGACTTTACTTATGGTTTATGAGACTGGAGAACAGAGAGCAGCTAGTGAATTCAGAGGGAATTTCAACAATTCTTCCTTATCCTGAGTAGCTTTTGAAAAACATAAATAGTATTTTAGTCTTCATGCAAAAATGACTAATGCTGCTTTTCTTGAGTATTTCTTTAGTACTATCAATATGTAGCGTATCAGTGGTTCAGGTTCAGTCCCAGCACCAATTTAGGTTTAATCTGCGTGTTGTTTAAGAAAGATGTATTTGGTTATGAAGTGAAAATGTATTCCCTGTGCTGTGCCCTACAGTTTTTAAAGCAAAGTTTGTTTGTTTGTTTGTTTGTTTTAGATAGAGCTGTCACTATGAGGGGGAATAAAGGGTATTGCCTCCTCCCCAAATCATCTCTTATGTTAGCCAACTAGGAAGTGCTTTTAGCCATTGTTAGTACTGTCCCCTTTCTGCTCCATGACAGCCACAGTGTATTCCCAGTGCAGTCCTCATCTTTTTTTGTCAGAGACTACAGGGAGAGAGTCGTAGATGATGACTGTTAGTCCTGTGCTTGCTGGGTTCTCAGTCATGCCAGCTGCACCCCTGGGGCATCCTAGTTGCTTCCCATCCCCTCAGTGCTCTGAAAAGAACCTGTCAAAACCCTGGGCCTTTCTGAAAGTCTGTTTTGCCATGGGACTGAAAAAATATTGGGTATCTTTGCCACATGCAGTATTTTCTTGACTCTTCAGATGTATCTGACATGTTACATCATCCATAAACTAGTACATCAGCAGACTGGGTTTAAGTAGATCAGCAATTTAGGTATAAGTCCACGTGAAGCACAGTGGGCTGAAAGATGAGAATAGAAAAGACTGCCGTTCTGATTGAATAACAATTTTTACTTCGGTGTAAGAATTAAAAGAGGGGGAAAACAAGGCCATTTATATTCTTTTTTTTGATTATCAGTGGTCATGTTCTCATTTCTGGTTGAATTTCAAGGTGGAATTTTGATAGTGAGCCTTCTCAAATTATTTTTACTCCAAATACAATTAAATAATGCTTTCATAATCAATGTGGTAGTGTGGAAATAATAGAAAGTACTGAAAATTTGGTTAATAAATACATTTGTTATTAGCTATATACATATATTCATACAAACACACACCTACATACATAGATACGTATGTAAATAAAACACTAGAGGCTAGTCAGTTTAGTAAATGAGTATATATCTTGGCCATAGGACTATGAAGGAAATCTCTTATTTTAAAGGATGTAACAATCATGAAGTGTCTAGGGAAGCTTGGTTTTAAGCTACCTGTGTTTCACAAACCCACGCACCTATATGTATGAGAAACTTTACATAATGTCTATGTGACTAAAATGTAGAATTACTTTATTGAAAAAATTGCAAAAAAGTACAATCATATGTATTTATATCATTACATATATATTAATTATAGATGAAATGAAAGAAGCCAAGTTTAATCATATCAGCCTTAAAAACGAACTTAATTGCCAACTGCTTGTTTTTAGGTTACTGATGCAAAATGCAAGCAGTGTTTTGGCAGTAGAGATGTACATTTCCAAGTACATTTATATAATTCCTGAGATTAGTGCAGCTTTTCTGTGACATTTACTGCAAATTATTATGAGTTAATTATTCTTATATTTTCATAACTTCAGTGTATGAAATTACTGCTAGCGATAATTGTTGGTTTCAGAGCCCAGGTGAATGAAATCCTCTGCTGACTGGTCCAAAGCAGGCAATTTTCCGTGCCATGGCATGCCACTTGTCTTCAGCTTCAGCTCTTTCTTCCAGTGGGATACCAGAAGTACTTTTGGCATGCTTGATGAAATTGTTTTGTTCTCCCAATCTGCATACTCATAACTAGTGTTTGCAATATTATTCCTAACATGAAAGTACTACTTGTGTCCTTGCAGGCTCTTAAGGGAATCACACAGTAGTTAAACAGAAACAGTTTTTAATCTGAACTGAATTGAGTTGGTTAGTTCTGTGGATCTGAAAACTACACTGAGAGACGTCAGGTTTTCTTAAGTCCTAAAGTTATCTTTTAATAGTGATTGCTTTTTCTTTTGGAAGAAAAGTTAATGTTATCTTCCCACCACCCTAGCTGATGCAGACTGAATTCCATAATCTCTATACAAATTAGCAAAAATTCTAGTATGAGATACAGTCACAGTCTTCTGCAAAGACATGCAAGAGAGGTCACAGTCATTCTTAAAGTGACATTTTCAGTAAGTGTAATACATACAATTAAAAAAAAATCTAAGTAGAAAAATAGCTACTTGAGCTCATTTCTGAATAGTGTTTTCCTGTGAAAATTACTACAGTTACAATACTTTCAAAATCCTCTCATTAACTTAAGATGCCCTGTGTTATATTTAATATGATTAATACTCTTGCAAACACTGCTCCCTAAGAATGCTAATATTAGAATATCAGAAGCTCTAAGGGTATAAAATGCTAATTCTGCTCCATTCTGTATATTTATTGTGATAGTATATTTGGTGTCACATAAAATTAAGAACAAAAGCCTTTAACTGTGCAGCATGTAGTACGTGAGAAGGTTCCATCAAAAGGAGAATATCAGGACCTAAACAAATCTAACATTTCTCTTAAAGGTATAGTTTGTATATTTCATATTTCTCACTCATGTATTTGAGATTTTTTTGTGGGAGCTAGGCAGCTGCAACAAAGCTGTTAACTGCAGTAGATAAGACACAATGTAGTTGATTGGCTTTGTATTTTATTTCAAATTTTGATTTGCAAACCCATCTTTCAATTCAGAAAACAAGCAACTTCTAGTCTGCTTTTTTCTTACTATGCGTTTTTATGTAATATCTGCTTGAGTCTCCCAAGGACTTCACCTCCTCTTTGCGATACAGCTATTGTGAACTTTACAGGTGGCAAGTCTACTTTTGAACAGAACGTTATGTAGTGATAAGCATTATTTACCCAAGATTCAATTTTTGTTCCCATAAAGACAGCTGCTAATTATGTATCATAAACCTAGCTGAAGAGCCGAACAAGTTAGCCAAATGAAGGCCTCGTGTAGCAAGGTTACTAATTGTGGTGTCAGATACTAAGCATGATGATAACCCAACTAAAAGTTCGTTGGGCTTTCTTGAATGTTTTAGGTTTTAGGTATAATACTTTCCCCAGACTGAATCATAATTAGTTGACCTAGCATTTACATTGTACCTGTAGTGTAAAAACTCTCCTGTAAGTACAGTAATTATTAACAGATATTATTTTTGGATGGCTATACAGAAGATAATTGTGTTTTGTATCATGAAAAGAGCTTAACTGTAATAGGGAGCAAATTTCAGTTCTAAGGTTAGGAGACCTTGCAGTTGAAATAAAATACCAGGGCTCCTTAAGGATACCTAGGTCATGCATTTGTTGCATAAGGCTTTGTATTTTTCCCAAAACTTCAGGTAAAAAAAAAAAAAAAAATCCCTCTTTATAAGTATTTCAAAAGTATTTCTTGTTTAAGAATTGTGTGGTTTCATCCATGTGTCAGCCTTCACTGCAAGCTCATCCAAATGTTTTGTCAGGGAATTTAAACTAATGAATCACACATGCATCATGACCTTAATGTATTAATTCTTAAATGTAATAACGCTACTGATCACGCTACTTCACATGTGATTGGCCCATCCTAGTTTAGAGAGGCCATGTTCCTTTGAATGCATTAGCTTAATGAACTGCAAGGCTAAAGATGCTCCACAGGGAACATGGTGGTTTTCCTTATCCATTTTACTGATATGAAAATAATTGAAGATTTGGGCAAACTCTTTTCCCAGATTTCATTTTACTGTTTTACAGAGAAAGAGCAAGTTGAGGGGCTTAAAGGCAGAGAACAGGGGGAGGGAGAAGCTTTATAACCTAGGTACATCTTCCCCAGATGAAATTAATCGTATTATTAGACAAACTCCTTCAGCAGCTGGCAAAACAGCAGGAACACGTCGATTCTGCTTCCTTGGTTACAGGGAATGATAGTGCACTTGACCTTCAGAGGAGCAGGGTCACAGAGAGGGCATTTTAAAACAATTCTCCCTGCTTTCTGTGACTGGAATCCTCAGTAATGGAGACTGGATGCAAATATCTGTGATCTGACTAAAAGTGACCTCGACATTCCTCTTGGATT